TGAAGTCTCATATATGAGCTATCATGGCTCTGTTTTTAGATAAGAATGAAACAAAAACTCTCCAGTATCAAAGACTCATTTCGTTCCGGGGTGATAGCAGGACACCCCGTATAGTCACTCAGAATAAATCAGGACATTCTGATGTATAGTTTCAAAATAAAATACCTTTGAAGTCTCATATATGAGCTATCATCCCTCTGTTTTTAGATGACAATAAAACAAAAACTGTCCAGTATCAAAGACGTATTTCACTTCAGGGTGATAGCAGGACACCCCATCTAGTCACTCAGAGAAAATAACTGACTAGATGAGGTGTCCTGCTATCACCCTGAAGTGAAATAAGTCTTTGATACTGGACAGTTTTTGTCTTATTGTCATCTAAAAACAGAGGGATGATAGCTCATATATGAGACTTCAAAGGAATTTTATTTTGAAACTATACATCAGAATGTCCTTATTATCTCTGAGTGACTAGATGAGGTGTCCTGCTATCACCCTGGAGTGAATTGAGTCTTTGATACTGGACAGTCTTTGTTTTATTGTCATCTAAAAACAGAGGGATGATAGCTCATACAATAGAGACTTCAAATGTCTTTTATTTTGAAACTCTACATCAGAATGTCCTTATTATCTCTGAGTGACTAGATGGGGTGTCCTGCTATCACCCTGGAGTGAAATTAGTCTTTGATACTGGAGAGTTTTTGTTTTATTCTTATCTAAAAACAGAGGGATGATAGCTCATATATGAGACTTCAAATGTCTTTTATTTTGAAACTATACATCAGAATGTCTTTATTTTTCTCTGAATGACTAGATGAGGTGTCCTGCTATCACCCTGAAGTGAAATAAGTCTTTGATACTGGACAGTTTTTGTTTTATTCTTATCTAAAAACAGAGGGATGATAGCTCACATATGAGACTTCTAATGTCTTTTATTTTGAAACTATACATCAGAATATCCTTATTTTATCTGAATGACTAGATGGGGTTTCCTGCTATCACCCTGAAGTGAAATAAGTATTTTATACTGGACAGTTTTTGTTTTATTGTCATCTAAAAACAGAGGGATGATAGCTCATATATGAGACTTCAAAGGTATTTTATTTTGAAACTATACATCAGAATGTCCTTATTATCTCTGAGTGACTAGATGGGGTGTCCTGCTATCACCCTGGAGTGAAATTAGTCTTTGATACTGGACAGTATTTGTTTTATTCTTATATAAAAACAGAGGCATGATAGCTCATATATGAGACTTCAAAGGTCTTTTATTTTGAAACTATACATCAGAATGTCCTTATTTTCTCTGAGTGACTAGATGGGGTGTCCTGCTATCACCCTGAAGTGAAATAAGTCTTTGATACTGGACAGTTTTTGTTTTATTGACATCTAAAAACAGAGGGATGATAGCTCATATATGAGACTTCAAAGGTATTTTATTTAGAAACTACATCAGAATGTCCTTATTTTCTCTGAGTGACTAGATGGGGTGTCCTGCTATCACCCTGGAGTGAAATGAGTCTTTGATACTGGACAGTTTTTGTTTTATTGTCATCTAAAAACAGAGGGATGATAACTCATATATGAGACTTCAAAGGTATTTTATTTTGAAACTCTTTAAGTTTTACATTCAGTTAGCTCTGTAGCCCCATCCACGAGTAACGTTTCCACGTCAGGTATATTATGTATGCTAGCAGCAACACACGGAGCTAACTCAATGATACAAACATGGGTTAATGATTAGAGGTAACTGAGTTATTTATTTTGTTAAAGTTTCAGCCATTCTGTTTACAGTTCTGTCATCAGATTATTTAATACGATTTGTTAAAACGTTGTTGTTTCTTTTGATGTGAAATATTATGTATTTAAAGGGGACCTATCATGCAAAATGCACTTTTGTACATCTTTTATACATGAATATGTGTCCCCGGTGTTACAGGGAACTCACCAAGTGTCAGAAAACACAACCCTCTCTATTTTCCTCCATACCCAAATCTCTAAAAAAGGGGCTGCAACGGATCTGATGAAAACTGATCCAGATTTGAACACTTTCCTGACGTCAGGAGAGTGGCGCTACGGCTATTGGGCCAACTCCACCAATCAGGAGGAGATAACCACGGCATTGCCGTTCGAAAGTGCTGGAGACGCTGTAGTACATATGCCAGGCCTCTAGATGGTGCTGTTGCTCACAAAATCAACCCTTGCTAAAACAGATCTAAAAAATGTCAAATTGAGCAAAATGAGGCATGGCTAAAATGCATGATCTATTTGGTATTTTGAAAAAAAAAAAAGTATAAATATGCCTTATATAGGTATGGTCCTACACTATATTATTCAAATATAGCATGATAGGTCCACTTTAATTTAAATAAAAAGCAATGTTAGTTTTGTGCACAATTTGTTTATTTTCATTTAATCGTTTATTTGAATAGGAACAATGCACATTAATGAACACTTCAGACAAATAATGCTTAAAGTGTAAATATGCCGGATTTTAGCTTTGAGCTCATTTCCATCCGTAGTCCCTGACATACAACATATAGTTAGTTTACCTAATTTTTCTCTCCAAAACTACCGTTAAAAGACCGGACCGATAAGCAGTATCGATAAAAGTAGTAGTACCGTTAAAACCTTAACGATACCCACCCCTATTTACACTATTTCTGAAGAATAGGTGCAGTTCCTGCAGGTGGTTCCTGAAGTGTGCCATATATCTGACAGCATGTGAGGCATCTTTGCATGCCAGTGCTAGTCTGTGAGCAGCACACGCTACAGAAACCAGCTTTGGAAAACTGTCTGTGAGCTGCTTTGCCACTCCATTCAGACGGCCTAGGTTTAAGAAGTACATTTAGTGTTGAGGGTGTCATTTTGTTTCCTTTAATAACAGCTGACAATACAAATTTCACACAATCCATTAGATTTAACAATAAACTCCATACCCGTCATCACCGCTGCACCGTCTGTCCCAAGTCCGTAGAGCCTGTCTACCGGGAGCTCCTTTTTTTGTAGTACACTCTTGACTCTCTCAGCTTTCCCATCTTCCAGAGTTACCAGGTCAAGGAAGTTATTAAAAACACAACCCTCTTTACCCAGGTGTCTAAAATAAAATTAATAGGTTTTCACACATATTAATAAGTATTAACTGGGCCAAAATCTTTATTTAAATGCACATCATTCCTTTAAAAAATACCCCACCTAACATGTAAATCCAGCTGGCGGCTTACAGATACATCTGTCGTTTCATCAACCTCTAGGCTGATTGCTTGAGATGACTTTATCTCTTCCAAAATAAAATAGGCAACTCTACGATCTGTGCAAGGATCTCCAGCATTTCATCCACTATTCTGTGTGATTGGTAATTGTTTCTTTGATCCGACTGAGAAAAGGAGATCATTTAACATTTAGCTGGTTAAAGTTCTTAGTTTCACAAGCATCCATTTGTAATAGGTTTACCTTCAGCTTTTCAAAGTAATCACAACCCAAAAGCTGAGCTAGACTTAACAGTTTAGGGTAGTTGGTGTGGTGAGCAATCTCGTTCTTTACTAGCCTGTAAAAGCATTTGAATCCACGGCCTCATGCTCCATAATAACTGTGGGCTAAAAAGCCTGCATCACTGAGTAGCCTAGACCAAGAGCAAAGACATCATTCATTATATGAGCCAAACATGGTTAATAGGTTGCAGAAATGAGCTATACATTAAAAAATGATATACCTGATGCAAGTGAGACCTGATTCTTTACACTATATTGATGAGGATCTGAGGAGATTTGGCGCTCCAGATAATCCTTGCGGAAAACAAGAAACTTCTATGAAAGCCCGTTTTAAGGGCCTTTCTTTACTGGAGGCTTGTGTTGCCTGCACACTCGGCAAAACATTCCTTTAAAAAAAAAAAAAACCCGTGTTAGCCAAATGCTAACATTGTCTAAGTTACCTGTGGTCTCTCCTCCTCTCCTAGTCTCTCCTCCTCATCCTCACGCCGTATTCTCTTAAAATATTGTTGAATACTCATATCTGAGGAGTAAATGCATGGGAATAAGTCTAACCTTAGCTAAAGTGAATCTGTGTCTTTCTAACTGGCATAGCCCGAAGAGAAAACAAATTATAATCTTTTTTATATTTAATTTAGCACGCGTAACTTGCACGCAGCAAAGTTGGCCTGTCTACGTTAAATACACCCTTACCCTTACTTTCTTTCACATAATTCGAAGCTCCTACCTAAGTCAGAAAACAACAACACAATAAGGAGAAAAGGAGTTGCTTTACCTTGTAAGTGTCCACGTCTTCTAAGTTAACGTCGTCTTCTCTGTTTCTCGCTTCCCATCATGCGATAGCAGAGCGAACAGGAACAGGAGGCGTAGAGCGAGGGATCATCCACTAGTTAATCAATCGCAGAGCGAATATGTACAGGAGGTGTAGAGCGAGGGAGTGTCCACTAGTTAATCGATCGCAGATGGCGTCGTGCTCGCGGACAGATAAAAAAAAAAATGGGTTGTGAAATATACTTTGGCGGCCGTTAATATACCTGGGCGGCCCGCCCAAGTAAAGTCTATGTGTGGGAAACCCTGGTGTGTTAGTTATTTTAAAGCTTAAGTACTTAATCAACTCTGACAACAAAGAGTTAATCGCTGACAGGAGAAATCTCTAACAATCAGAAATTGGTCTGTATGCTCCTGATGTACATTTTGTTAAAGTAAGATGTAATTGTAGTGTTGTCATGCAGATTGGGCCTCTGTGTTGAAAATTGCTTTGGCTCTCTCTTTGGATGTGATGCTGCTGATGCTCGCAGTATATTTGGCCTACACGGGTAAGAGTTTTACTAACAATTTCGAATCAAACAACTCAAGAATCAAAAAACGCATTTCGACTGCCTTTTATTTTCTACTGTGGTACAAATATTTCCTTAAGAAAAGATCAATCGTACTCTCTCCAAATGGCTTTAATCCTGGTTAAATTATCCTCCATAACTAAGTCTTCGTGTTGTTTTATTCCCTTTCTGACAGGATGTGCACCTTGTATGAGAACAAACAGAGGAGTATGAACATAACGCTAACAGGTCAGTGTATGATTCTCTAATATTATAAAGTATTCATTTATGTAAATCACTTTTATCCTCCTTTGATTTACATCACTGATAACTTCCCCTGCAATACTCGATGACTGGTCTGCTCCATCTTTGTAAAATATGTAATTTTTTACGACTAACAAAGCTCTGTCTCGGATGTTTACTTGTATTTCTGTGCTACATGGTTGCGTTAGCAGTAGGGGGAAATGACGGTACAGATTCAGCCACACAAACATCACTATCTTTTTATCTATATCAGCTATTCCTCCTTTGCACGGAAATGCAGCTTTAACTTATTAAACATCTGACTCATTTTTATCTAGTACCATTAGACCGGGGGCTCATATAAATGCTTAAACCTGCAAAGCGCCTATGACATATTAATATTCTGAGCACAAATATTATCCTTAATTAACTTGGTTAGAAAGTCCAAATGTGACTTTTTAATGGTAATAAAGATGTATTTGCTTTATACAAAGTACATTTTCCTCGAATGTATTTAAGTTAACTATGTAATTTTATTTTAATTAGGGGCCCCTTGCAGATTCTTAAAGCTTACCTGCTGGCATCCAAGAAAAGACGGCAGTGTGTCTGAATCAAAATCCTGGGACGGCTCCTCCACAAAGCAGCAGCGATTCTCTGGCTTCTCACTGACTGACCATGATGAAAACAACCTGTAGATTATAAAGTACAACTTCAATTAACTTTATGCAGATTATACAAAAAGGTCTTGCACAATTGTTGTCATATACAGGGATGCAAACTCATCAGGTATGAAAAAGGTGACAAGGATCCGAGCCCCACGGAATATCGGAATAAAATCAGGAATAACAGAGGATTTTAGCAGTCAGAACAACTAAAGCAGCAGTGTTAATAATAACAGAAACGCCAAAGAGTCACATCTAATAGAAATATATAAAAGCATTTATTTGAATTCTGTAGCAGTCAGTTTATAATTTTGGCAGCACTGTTGAGCATTTTGAAAATGTATTTTCATGCCTCTGTGCAAGGCTTAGTCTTTCTATCTTTATAGCCAGTGGTGTAAAGTAAGTTCATAAACTCAAGTACTATACTTGGGTACAATTTTGAGATACTTGTACTTTAAGTATTTCAATGTTTTGCTACTTTGTTCTTCTTCTCCTCTACAGTTCAGAGGTAAATGGTGTACTTTTACTCCACTACATGTATTTAATACCTTTAGTTACTTTACAGATGTGGATGAATGATGTGAAATATAATCAAGTGTTAAATCAGACTTTAGTTCCACCTGGAGTAAATTCTCAAGCTACCCTGCAGTATACAAAGTCATTCAAACTAGCTGCACCTTTACCAGCTTTGAGAACACTTTAATGCTCAATCATTATAAAACATATCATATATATTATTCTGAAATGGACCAATCTGCACAATGACTACTTTTACTGTCGCTACTTTAACTATATTTTGATGATAATACTTTTCTACTTTTACTTGAGGAACATTTTGAATGCAGGACTTTTACTGTAACAGAGTATTCCTACACTCTGGTACTTTTACTCAAGTACAAGATCTGAGCACTTCTACTTTTACTCAAGTACAAGATCTGAGTACCTCTACTCTTACTCTAGTACAAGATCTAAGTACTTCTACTTTTACTCAAGTACAATATCTGAGTAATTCTACTTTTACTCAAGTACAAGATCTGAGTACTTCTACTCAAGTACAATATCTGAGTACTTCTGTTTTACTCAAGTACAATATCTGAGTACTTCGACTTTTACTCAAGTACAATATCTCAGTACTTCTACTTTTAATCTAGTACAATATCTATACTTATACCACCTCTGTATAGCCTATGAAAAAAACTAATAGAAAACGAAGGCTAAAGCTAACGTTAGCAGATAGTGACAATGTATGCTAGTTAGCTAGCTCAACGATTCCTTAAAGGAGACATGTCATGGCCATTTCCACTGATCATAATTCCATTGTTGAGGTCAACTAGAATAGATTTATATTGTGCAATTTTCCAAACTCACATTGGTTTCTCATACAGCATCTCTGTAAACTACGTGTATTCACTGAATTTCACTCTCTGCCTTTAACGGCTCGTTGTAGCTCCAATAGCTCCAGCCCCCACCCTCCCTGTGAGCACAGTGTGCTCTGATTGGTCAGGACGTTGTGAATCGCGCTGAGCTCTGTGGAGGTGTTGTTTCCTTGTTTAGCGATACACAGCGAAACACAGCCAAACTCATCCTCAGCACACACAAACTCACAGTCGAAGTAAAAACAATAAGTGTGGCTTGATATTGAGTAAGAAAAAGGTTGATAAACGCTGTGAGAATCGGTCTGCAGAGAGAATTTCGCCGCGATCCCAACTGTCTGTTATCAGCCTGCAGCCAGGGAGGAGAAATCAGCAGAGCTGCCTGCACTGTGAAGTCCGTGGATTGGTCAATTTGGACCAATCAGCGGGGGCTTAACGTAACGGCTCCGTGGACGTAACGTAACGGCTCCACGGATTGGTCCATTTGATTCTTCCGGGTACGGGATGATGTAATCCCGTACCCGGAAGAATCAAATGGACAATGACGTATCTCCAACGAGGCGTTTTGGGGAGGTATTTTCTGTGTTAGAGTTTTACTCGCTACAGGGTGTACTTTGAGGGTTTTGACTCTGCACACCGTTTACATGCATAAAAACCTTCATAACACACAAGGGGACGGGTAATAACTGGAAAAGCATGACATGTCTCCTTTAAATAATATTGCGACAGAAAAAAAATTCAGTTCACATCACGCTCTGCCGCTCCGACAGGGAGCTCTGCTCTGAACACCCGAACGGCCCGTTCTAACAGCTGTTCACCAGCGGTCCAGTCTGTGCCACAGTGACTCCGGACCGCACAGTTACTATTAACAAACGCACTCGTAGTTAATGTAGCTGCTGCGCGTCATGATGGCACATAATAGCTCACGGCCGCAGATTACTCCGCTACGTGATGCAACAATATTATCTAGAAATGTCACATATATAAATATAATTATGCAGAACATTTAGTAGTAGTTGACTTGACAGTATAATAGTAACTTCCCACCACTGGTTTAAACCAGTTTAAACAAACCGCCACCTGCACTTCAACGGCTGTTCAAATTCAACATGGCTAGCTAGAAAATAAAAAGTAACTGAACCTGTCAAATGCAGTTGAGAAAAAATACATTAGTTAGGCTTACCCTTAAGGTGTCGTGGATAAAGTATAAGGTAGCAGACAATTGAGACAAATACCTCGAAATTATAGTTATTAACAGTTGGTAAATGTAATTAGTTACCCACCAACGGACGTAAAACTACCGTTAGACATCAAATCAGCTAACGTTAACATCCAGCTGCTGCCTGCTAACGCAAATGATAAAAGTAACAGTTGTAAATATAATACAAATACAGTGGAGTGAAAAGAACATTACTTAGGCGTACTTACCATTGAGGTGTCGTCGAGTACTATTAATGATAAAGTAGCAGCAATGTGGACCAACCTTGGATGTATAAAAAGAACCATACTCAGAAAGTACCCGTATACGTGGGCCCACAGAGCATGCGCAGTTGAGTTTTCCTTAAGCCCCACCTCCGATCTTCCCGCTCTCTGTCAGTCAAATAAATGGAGAGATAAAATAACTCTGGATTCAGCTCTTAACGCAATTTACAATGTTTAAAACCTAATGATTTAAATAAGGGGCTGTAAAAGTGTTCGTGCTGGGTAGTTTATTTAGCTAAAAAAATTAGATGGCCGTTCAAATACCGTTAGAGAAGTCAATTCAATTCACAGTTAAAGGTGGGGTAGGTAAGTTTGAGAAACCGGCTCGAGATACACTTTTTGTTATATTCCATGGAATGCTCTTAACATCCCGATAGCAATGAATATCTTAAGTGCTTTGACAAAAAATCCATAAAAAAATGTCATCTGTGGAAGCCGTAGTACTGTAAAAAGCACGACCAATCATTTTAGCCGGCCCGGCTAAAATAACTGGATGGCCTACCTGCCTGTCAGCCTTCCATCTGTGCACAAACTTATCTCGTGCCCTCATTGGTCATGTGCGCGCTCGTGTGTGTTGGAGGAGGGGCTCTGTAAGGAAGTGGCAGATTTTCTCCGGTTGTGTATTTTTAAATTCCAGCGCACTCGAGCTGGTTTCTCCGAAATTACCTACCCCACCTTTAAGTTTTAAGATTAGAGTAAATCCCCTCCTCCAACACACACAGCCAAGCTTCCCAGCAACATGATCAAAAGCATGTTGCCTGTTTTACTAGGCTAACTTTCCCTAGCAAGGAAATGCAAGCCAGGGCAAGCTTACAGCCAAACTTCTTTTTATAATTTCAAGTATCTGAATGTAGTTGTTGTTGCCTACAGAATAGCAGGAGGCCAGACAGAGCAGAATGAGTGAGCTGTGTCAGATGATCTGGCCACCGGCTTGGTAATGATTGGTGTAATTGGAGGGCATGTATTACCAGGATAACATGGCCCCGCTGCTAAAATAATACTAACCAGAACTTGGAACTTTGTCCCGTGGCTCCAGGCGTCACATGTCTTCATGTTGTCCTCGGTCATGTTGGTGAGTACTACAGACCTGTGTCCCATCAGGATACAGAGGTAGCCCATCACATAGCCCATGAGCAGAGAATGGTCGCGACTCCAGCTAGTGTGAAGTGGGCCAGTTTCTATGGCTGCCCATCATCTGCAGAGTTAACTAATTAATGCATCTGCAGGTGGCGGAGGGGAGACAGCCCAAACTGTCCACTGCCCCATCACCTGGAGATGTACTGTTTTTTTTATACTCTGGATTGTGGGAAACAGTATTTCGATCTCTCTGTCTGTACACACAAACTGGAAGATTGACAATAAAGTTGACTTTGACTTTTTTTTTTTTAACCTGTTATGCACCGCCCTCCCGGTACCGGGCGGATAAACGCGTAATTTGCAGGAAACAACGTCTAAGGAATCTTAATATTTAATAAACTATGAATGTTTT